TCCAGCCCTTGGCATCTGGTTTAAAATAACATTGCAATACCAATTTACAAAAAGCAACCATTTCTTTTGGGGGTAGGATTTTAAACAAGTGTGATTGGGGCTTCGTTTTGTTTTTTGTTTTATTTTTTGAAATACTAGTGTTTGAACTCAGGGCCTCACACTTTCTAGGCAGGCACTCTACTACTTGAACCAGGCATGCAGTCCCTTTTGCTTTTAGTTATATTTCAAATAGGGTTTTGCCTTTATATATAAGTAGGGCTGGACTGTGATCCTTCTATTTACTCTTCCTTCATAGCTGGGATGACTGGTGCACCACCATGACCAGGTTTTATTGGTTGAGACAGGGTCTTGCGAACTTTTTGCCATGGCCAGCCGCAACCCACAATCCTCTCAGTCTCTACCTCCAAGTAGCTAGGATTTCAAGTGATTACAGGCATGAGCCACCCTGATGGCCAAGCTTGTTTGTTTTTTGAATCAGCTTTACTGTTTGGGGGTGTCTAATAAGCATTCCAATACTTAAAATCATATCTGAACTTCTAATACTAGATGTAGCTAAGAAAAAGACAACATTTAAAAGAGTAAAAGTAAAATGTGAAGGAAAGCCATCTATGGGATAGTAGGGTTGAGGTAATCATAGGTGAGCAGCAAAAGCAAGGAGAGCCTCTAGGAACAGGATCTTCGGCCTGGAGATGCCCTGATTGTACAGGGACAGGGTGTCCCCTGGCCACTCTTTTATCCTCATTCTAATACAAGACTCTACAGTCATCCATCCTTTGCTCTTTTAAGTTACGACAAGAAGAGCTACTTAGGTACTAAAGGTTTCCTGGGTGGATACACCAGCTATAAGGCAAAATGGTCTCCTCAGAGCAGGTTTCATTGGCACTGATCTCTTCAGATGGTGCCCCTAGCCTCCTAGCAGGCTCTCCTGATGCCTCCTGCTCAGGCCCTACCCACCATGATGCCACCACTTTTGCCTCTTTCTGTTGCCCCTGCCCACTCTTTCTGTTAATGCTGGGGCCAGCCCCCTCGATGCCAAACATGAGGTCTTTTGGCAGGGAAGCAATAGACAATAGACTGAGGCAAGTATTGCAAACACACAAGCAAAACCTTAATAAGAGTGTGGAAGTTGGGAGGTCTCCTGTGGAGTAGAGAGATCAGATTACCCCCAGCAAAAGAAGGGGCAGGCTTTTTATCCACTTGCTGAGGTGGACCGGAGCCTGGTAATTTCCCACTGGCGTAAGCATGGCATTCTTAAAAAGAAATGTCTTCCTCTGATATGGATTAGTAGTCAGTTTCTCAGACATTATAGTGCCACCCTGGTCCCTAAGATGCACGTGATTGATCTGGACACTGCTATAAAGAGTAGAAGGTAGGAAAGACACATACTATACATTGTTGGAAGAGGAAGGAACACATACAATACCTTGTTGAAGGAGTAAGAAGGTAGGGAAAATTTATAGATTTAAGCTTTGTCCTCAAGTGGTCCCTGTTTGCTCTAGGAGAGAGAACTCAATTTGCCCACAGAGTCACCCCCAGGATAAGGGCCTCTGTTGGGCCAAGCTTAGGTGACTCATGACTGAATGACTAGTACCCAGCTTTGGTCCAGTCAGTAGACTTGGTAATGGGGAATGTGCCCAAGCTTGGTGACTTGTACCAAGGCACGATGAGACTTCTTACAGTGGAACTCATAACTGGCAGGCAGCATGTTTAGCCTTGACATGATAACATCTGCATCTCTAAGAGGCTTTTCCAATCAAATAAAATTATTTATATTCTCCTTCTCTCTTATCCCCCAAGTCAGTTCTCCATTCTGGTAGAGTAACCCTACCTTGAAGGCAGTAATATAAGCCTAAAATGATATGAAGTGCTTAAAATATACATCAGATACTTTATAGCAAGGTGATTTATTGACTGATTGTGATGCTGGGAACCAAACCCAGGGTCTGGAACATGCTGCTCTACCGCTGAGCTATACCTTCGGCCCCAGCTTTTTCATCTTAACCTTCTGTGGGTGTGTATTCTTAGAGCCCTTTCATTCCCTGTCCTGTCCTGGGAGCTGTATAGCAATATAACCAGAGTCATGTTGTTCTCAGTGATTATTTTAAGTTTGCATATAAAATATTATGTTTACACTATAGTAGAAGACTCCCAAAGACATGCAGTCTCAACAACCCTTTAGGGATTTTCAAGAACAAAAAGTAGATTTGCCTAAATAAAGGGAAATTTTCCTCCCTTGGGTCATTTGCATAAATGCCCTTTGGGAAATTCTGTGGTACCTGGAAAGGCCACTTTTTTGTTGAGAAGCTAGACTTACTTTCCTCTCTGTTTTAATCTACATTTAGTTCTTTATTTACAAAGAGGTCATGTGAGAACAGTGCCTTGGGAAGGCTCTCAAAGTGTAGGGTATTGTATGATGCTCATGGATAGAGCATTAGTGCTTTACATGGCTATAATACTTTGCCTAAGCTAAGTGGTTTCTTATCAATTCTCAACTCACCTGGTGATTTTCTGAATATTTTTTTTTTCAAAATTAGGCTCCATTTTGCCATATCTGATCCATTACTGGGCTGAATTGTTTTCTGTTGTTACCGTTTTTATTAGTTGTTTTGTTTGTTCCTTTGTTTAAGATAGTGTTTTACCATATAGCCTAGGCTGGCCTCAAATTCAATATCCTCTTGCTTCTTCCTCTTGAGTGCTGGGATTATAGGTATGTGTCACTACACCAGGCTGGTCTAAGGTCTTCTTGGTTTGAGATTTGTTTGGGGGCTTTTGTTTGTTTTTGTTGTCGTTGTTGTTTTTGAGACAGGGTCCTGCTATGTAGCCCAGGCTGGTTTCAATCTTGTCATCCTTCTGCCTCAGCCTCTTGAGTGCTGGGATTACAGCCGTATACCACCACACCCAGATGGACTAAGTTTTTAAAGACTGTGTTCCTAAGGTATGTTTAAGTTTTTCATGAGTGCCTCTCAAGCCTCTTTTTGCTGTTATCATATGAGGACACTTTTGTCAGCTGCGTGTATGTGTTAAGTGAGAGAGTGTGTGTACATGTACACATGCATGCCACTGAGTGCCTGTTCCGTGCTGTTATATACTGGCACAATGGGAGCACTGTAGCCAGAGTAACTCACTGACCCAAGGTCACTCAGCTATTGATAGCCATGGCAGAACTTAAAAGGCAACAAGGTGACTCTCTCTCCTCTTAAAAAACACTCAGGTTAAACCAGACAGCCAGCATCCCAGCCAATAAAGCATCTGGATTTCTTTCTTTCCATCAATGTGATAACAGCTCTCACTGCTCTGCTCCCCACACAGGCTAGAGATTAACTCCCCACACAGGCTAGAGATTAACCACCTTCTGTATGAGAAACTAAGGAAAGCTCCCTCCCGGGTATGTTTCCTTGCCACCAAGCGCAGATGAGGAAACTCAGGATTGGTGTTAGCCCAGTGAACTAATAGAGCAGATGCATGCTTATAGGAAATGATAATCTTCGAGTTACTGCACTTACCAAGCATGGGTATCAAAGATCTCTCATACAGAGGCCACTGCACAAACTTTGTCAAGTGCAGCTCAAAGCTACTCTTTAGACCACCGCCCCCCCTTTTTTTTTTTTTTGCAGTGTAGGAATGGTACCCAAGCCTTGCACATGCTAGGCAGGTGTGTACTACTGAGGTACATCTCCAGCCCTACAACACCTTTCTTAATATCCTTGTCCTCCAGAGAGAGTCATTATCCTTATTGTGCTCTGTACCTACATGTAGGTACATCAAAAGACCATTGGCTATCAGGATACTTATGTTCTCTGGTCTCTCTCCCTAGAGTATAAGCCCCTGGAACACAGGAAACCTGGTGGTCTGTCATCCTTGATGCTCCCAGCATTATGGAATATTTACTGAATGTATAAGATCTCAGGACTTATACCAGTATTACATACACATATGTGTTTGCCTGTGTGTTGATGTGTTCTAACACATGCAGTGCACATGGCACATTTTAGCCATCTAAAGCTTCTCATTTGTGGGGATAAGTTAATCACTGTAGAGACTTAAGCTGGAACTCCATTGGTTAAGACAGTCCATGGAAGTGCTTTTCTGCGTATTCTAAATCCCCAATATGTCTTTAAAGTTACTTGTCCATTGCTGAAGCCTTTTGGTTGCTTGGATGAAAGACCAATGATAGCTTCCTCAAAGGCAAAACTGTTACTCTGGGAGGGAAAAATCTCAAGTTTAAAGCTTTCTGGAATATCTTGTTATTCCTTTCCCATCTAAAGTGGGAGCTGAGAGGTGACATTATGGCACATCCTGTCTCCCCTGCATGTGGAAATCCAACCCAGCATTTCAGGAAGAATAAGAGATGTTTTTTAAATGTCAAAAAAAAAAAAAAAAGCCACGAACTTCCTCCTATGCATCTCACTCTAGCTTCTGTTGCAGACCTTGGAGACTGCTCTTCAGTATCATCAGTATCCGATAAGCAAAATTTGTACAGCTACAAACACCTGCAAAGTGGACATATCTGGCATGCTTTGTCCTGCTGTAGGTGCCCATTGTTTTAGAGCCCAGTATGCTTATAAGGCAGACACAGAAAGAAGAGTCTTGTGAGTCAACTCACTGGAGGCCTCAAACTTTCCACACCCTATGTTATGTCATAAAAGATCCCCCTGAGTTCTGATAGCCCAGTGCCTGGCAGCCTCGATGAAGCATGTTCTCATTAGCAGGTGTGTTCTCACTGACTCTGGTTGGATCTGGCCCTGCAGCACACATCATCTTGGTATGAGCACAGCCTCATCCCAGTGAGGTGAGACAAAAGAAAATGACATCAAGGGCTGAGAGCATGAGCTCCAGGAAGAAGCTTGATTGATTCAAAGTTTGTTTTCTAGAAATATTTACTTGAGATTAAGGAAATCACTCCATTCTAAAAAGTTAAAAAGTTTAAAAAAGACAAAAACAATAAAACAACTTTAACTCCCCCATGATCTATCTTCTGACAAACACAAAATTTCTTCCAGGTGAGAGAGAGAAACAGAGAGAAGAGAGGAGAGGAGAGAGAGACAGAGACAGAGACAGAATATGTATGTGGGTAAGACAAAGAACTGAAATAATAATCTAGCTTTGATCAAAACTCCTTGTTAAGGTATTCCCTTTGAAAATGATGTTTAATCAATAAACTCTACCACAGTGCATTGAGGAGTAATTATCTTACACGTGTTTCAATTGAAGCTGTGATTAGAATAAGAGGGGAGGTAAGAGGGGCATAAAACAAATATAAGAAGGAAAATTCTCAAATAGGAGCTGAAATGTGCAGACTGTGGGATATTTAATAAGCATGAGGCTTGTTCCAGATAGTGATGTTGGTACTCCTGCTTTTGCTTGGTACACTTTTTCCCTACTTGGGGCAGCATTAATGGCACTAACAGTGATGTCAAGGTAACTTATCATATGCTTATAGCCATATACCTTTATATCCAAATCCTTATATCCTTATCCATATATCCTTATATCAAAAAATGGAGCTGGTGCTGGCACTTAGATGTTCTGGTCCCAGGTAGGTTGGAGAAGCTACACCTGGTCACCAGAAGTTTCTTCTCCATAGTAGTTAGAAGCCAATCTTCAAGCATGGCCTGCCTGGCACAGTCTATAAGTCCAACCAATAGTTGAACCTGGGTTTTACTAATTCAAGATGAGATACCAGCATCCTGTAAAAGAGAATAGAAGACTTTGGATAATCCCACCAGTGACAAAAATAACTTGAAGAGAGGAGAAGGGTCAAGTGTGTGCTGGTGAAGATCACTCAGTCTCTGTACAGGAGGCAAGAGTGTTTACTGGGGACCCCTGAAAAAGTATTTCCAAACTCTTAGGAACACTGGATGAAAGTGTTATGAACACATCCATAGTGTTCTTTAGAATGCCTTCCTGCTGCAAGGCCACACCAGGGAGAGGTGGTTTGCTTTATTTGCCATTAAGACCAGGGATGCTGTCACTTAAAGCTTAGCACAGCAGCTACATCCTGTTATGCTCTTTCCTTTCCTCTTGGACTTCCCATTATGCCTTGGTTCCTTTTAACCAGAGAACAGAAAGAATTCCACAGATATGCTCAGGTGATCTTAAAAACTCTCGTAGGGGCATGATTCCCTTGAAAGCATTCTTGCTAGGTGATGCTCCCCAGTGCCAAGCTCCGAGGTACCCAACTTGATCTGCCTGTTCTAAATTCAGTATCTCTGGCTGCTTACTTATCATACCATGTTGCTAAGGCTTCAGCCTTTATTCCTACTCCCAGTAGGTAAGGATACAGTTTTTAAATTTTTTATCCTCTGCAAAAGGATTGAGAAAAGCTAGAATGATTGGTAGCTTAATACAGCAGTTGCTCTCTGAATAGGTTTACAAATGGGAATAGCTACATACTCAGCATCACTGAGAATTTGCCTAAATGCAACCTAGAAAATTAAACAATCCCCATAGTGGACTCAGCTCTGATGGTTCTCAAGAAGTGATACTTAGGCAAAAACTATATCTTATCCAATATCTTTGGGTTAAAAGCTAACTAACCAATGAGGACAAGGATATCCTCCCTACCTTTAAGGATGCTTCAATTTGCCTTAGATTCTTTCCTGCAAAGCTTTCACTCATCAGTAAATATTAGCTACCTCAGAAACAGTGAGTGGCAGAAATTGTGCCTCTGGGGCAAAATTAGGGACTGGGCAGAGTGCAGCTACCTGAATGTAGGCAGAATTAAACCAGCCAGAATGTGCTCCAAGTGTCCAAGGAGGAATTTGGCCACAGCTGTGGGCCAATGCGCCTGTTGTTACTTTAGGTTTATTCAGTTAGAGTCACAAGCAAAGTAAATTGAGCAGCATGTTTTGTTTGAATATTACCTTGGAAGAATGTGTAAATAGATTAACAAACCCTAAAGGACCAGTGATGAGCACCAGGCTCCTCCTTTATCCCCATGCTCAGGCTGGGTTTTAAAAATTCATTTCAGAATGATAAGAATAAAAGCAGAAGAGTGGATACACCTTTTGTTTGATGCCACAGAAATGTTTTCCTGCTTCTCCATCCTGGACAGACCTACTGTGTGTGGACTACAATGAAAACAAAAACAAAAACTGCATGTAGTGGCTGTCAAGTTGTAGAAGGGCCTGCCTGAGAAGTGGTGGTTTTGGTGCACTTGAATCTTACTTTTGTCTTGACCAACATGTTGTCTGACACTGTCACTGCGTTCAGTTGACCTGGTGCTTCAGAAGATTGGCATGGATGAACTATTGCAATTGATTGCACAGGCCTCATATTTCTGGAGGCTGCAGGATAAATAAGCCATGCCTTTCAGAAAGACTTCTCAGTTCTACCATTTTTAGTGCCATGTAGTGATTGATCATCTCACACTCCATTCAGAGTGAGGCATTTTGACAAGTTTTCACTCACAGTTAAACAGAGGGGGATGAGGATGATGTCAGGGCACCCTGTTTTCAGGAAGAAGCTGATATTTTTCCATGTAAGTCTTGTGCTTTGGCTGAATGGCAGATGAGTTTTCCAATAGTATAAGAAGCTAGAAGTAAGAGGCCAGAGAAGGAGTAGAGGGAGATGCAGTATAAAAATGGAATGGTTTCCTGGGAAGGGGGTCATGTATCCTTAATCAGAACTTTTAAGTGACATCCATATCTATGGCTTCTCACTGTTAGGAGAGTACATCTAATGCTCCCCCTAACATCCAGGCTATAAGACTGCAATAAGGACTTTATTAAAGAGGTTTACCACATCCAGGCTGCAGTAGCTATGCTGCTGATCAGCCCTGTGACCTAACCTGTTCAGTGAGGGGATCTCATGGCCCACTCCAGCATGACCAGTCTGGGGTCTGTGTCTCACGACCTTGAACATCAGTCAGTAATCCTACTCCAAAAAAAGAGAAGAGGTTTGAAAAAAAAAAAGAATGTCCAAGAGGGTTTTAAGTGGAAATTGTGTACTATGACAGAGTTCCTTGTAAATATTTTCATCAGAGAGAAACTAGGGAAGTGACAGGAGCACCTCCATATCTCATTTGCTTGTCATTTGGCCTGACTCTGAATGGTGGCCCAGATGTATCTTTGGTTTTATTTGTTTGCTGCATTCTTCACCCACAGTTGGTAAAGGCAGAATTGTCCACTATTGCTAACTACTCTTTTGCCAGGGAAGTTCTTCACTTTCTTCCCTTTCCAAATAGGAGACTGACTTTCACCCTTTTCCTGCTTCTTCCTTCCTTCCCTCCCTTCCTGGTAGGGATCTATGTCTCATTCAAATCTGTCCTCTTAGCATGGTGTTTGGTACATAGCAGATGATCAAAATGTATTAGTCAACTGCATTGGTTAAAAACTAGATTGAGAAAATGAGAAGGAAGACATGGGATTAAAACTAGAGTTTAACATAATCAGCCATGTTTTATTAAAATAGAAATTAGTCTGACACTGATGGCTCGCATCTATAATCCTAGCTATGCCAGAGGCAGTGATCAGGAGAATCTCTTTCCGAAGCCACCCTAGGTAAATAGTTCTCGAGACCCCATCTCAAAAATACCCAACTCAACAAAAGGACAGGCAGAGTGGCTCAAGTGGTCGAGAGCCTGCCTTGCAAGCTAGAAGCCCTGAGTTCAAACCCCAGTACCACCAAAATAAAGGAAATTAACATTATAAGCTAGGAAAAGTAGAAAGGCACACATATTTACCAGCCTAGACCTAGAAGATACCTTTCCAGCATATGTCTTGACTAGTGTTATCCAAAAGTGCTGGTGAATAATCCCTTATGTTTTCTATGTCATCACAGAGAATATATAACTTGCACTGTCAGACTCTCCCAAAGCACTGCTTTCTTCATTCAGAAAGTGAGAGGAGCTTGTCTTTTATTTAGCAGCATCACACTTTGAATTCAGCAGAACAAAGACAGGTTCAAAATAGTGGTATGTGTCATCAAAGGGTCAAGTGGAGGAAGGACAAGGATTAGATCCAGGTGAAGCACAAACATGTGCTTTAACTCCCACAGAATAATCAGTGAATGACACCACACACTCAGTGACCCAAACAACCTTCTAGATTCTCCCCATTTTCAGTTCCAACAGTGAGCATGTAACCTGAAGGTTAAGCCATGGAACCTGCTGCCAGATTACCAACGTTTCAATCTCTTTGTGCCTCCATATCCTGATCCACAACATGGAGGCAATGATATATTCTACTGCATTCAGATTGCTATGAGAACTGAATGAATTAATATACACGAAGTATGAGGCTCACTGCCTTCTGATCTCAGTAACAACCGTGTTTCTTATTGTAAGCAAATATACTACTGTTTGATTTATACATAATCTAAGAGATTCAGGAAAATTTCAGAGAAGTTCTCTTCGAGAAAGTCTTATGTGCCTAATGGAAGTGAATTCCCCAAGCTAAAAACTATAACCCGACATCACTTAACAGCCAACCAGACTCTTTGGCAATGTACGAATGTCAGAGACAGGACCAGCATCCTAAGTGGAGCCTCCCATCCCTGCTTCCACTTGCTAGGAAGAATACAAGGTCCTCCAAGTCTATGTCTTCTGTTGTCTGTATCTGTTCAAGCTTCCAGTCCCTCATACCATCTAATTCCCTTTGGATAGCTGGTTTCTTTCCTTATCTGGGTGCTGTGTGCTGAGACTGTATCCTGTGAGGTTCCCAGAGGTAGCCTTGTTCTGCCTATGGCTCTGGGTCCATTCACTGCAGGTTGAAGGATTTGGACCCTGGGGCTAAGATAGATGTCTGATTTTCTGAATCCCAGAGCTCCTTTACCTCCTTTCTGGTGATTTATTCTTTTTTGCCCTCTCCTTTTTTTCCTTCTTTCTCTCTATTCTTCAAAGAATTCAAATCCAAAGCCTAGTTTTTCTTTTTACCCATGTGTACATGAAGTATTGTATTATTCAAGTTCACTATTTTTAAATTTTTTTTCTGAGACAGGGTCTCACCATGTAGCCCAGACTAGCCTCAAACTCAAGATTCTCCTTCCTCTCAGTAACAACCTGAGTTGACACTGCAGGCATGGTCTACCACACTCTGCTTAAATTTCTTTATTCAAATTTTTAGTTATAGCAAAACATTATGTGTGACCATATTTAGTGTCCATCTCATTTACTAGCAAACACTCTGTGGAGACCAGAATTTTGCCTCCACTGCTTATGCTCTATCACAAGCACAGACAACACCTGGCACCTGGTAGACACTTAGTAAATAGCTATTCAATAATCAAATACTATATTAAACAACATTGCCCTGTATATTTATAGTGTCTGTGGATCACCAAAACACCCCAAACCTCAGTTTTTCAGAGGTTCATTTTTGTAATTACAATGACTCTTGGTAAATCTCCTTGAATTAATGGGTCTTGCAGAGTTATGGCTGATGTGAAAAGGTATCTAGTCAGCATCTGTTTGTTCTATGCATTTCTCTCATTCATGCTGTACATATATTTTAAGGAACATTTCTTTGGGTGCTGTGTTTTTTTCTATTTATGTCTTCACCATAAAAATATAAATAGATCATTTATCTCCGGTATCCTTAAAGTAGCTCACATCGTCTCCCTGTTTTAAACTTTTACATAACCAAAGTATCTATCCACAGTATGCGTTGTTTGGAAGATGAGAGGTTGGGAACAACCCTGGAACTTTAAAGCCAGCTTCTAGAGGCCCAAGAGGTTGCATGTAGAGCCAGGAGCTATGTGTTGGCTGCTGGGTCCAGTCCCCGTTACACCATACAGGACACCTCTGCTCTTTGCTCTGCCTGGCATCAGCCTGATAGTACGCTAATGTTCATTCAGATAGATGACAACTCTGTAAAGGGAATGTCTTAGCTATTATCATCTAATACAGAAGCAAACCAAGGCATACAGAGCTTAAGTAACCTGTCCAAACTCCACAGAAGTAGTAAGTGACAAAGCTAGGATTTGAACTCCTGCCCCTGTGATCTTATTTTCTAGGCTCTCCTCAATAAGTCACTCCTGATGGGGAGCCACAGGACAGGGTAGGCAGGGACAGTCTAGGCTACTCATGAGTTGAAGGCAATGGCTGTTGGTGAGTGAGGCCTAAAATGTATCCCTTCTATTGACTTTCTAAGAAAGGGTTTCTTAGATTTCCCACAAGTACTTTGATCATTGGGGATGGTTTCAGTTAACAGCCATATTATTGGGCAAGCAAGAGAAAATGCTCCTCTCTTGCACCCATTCCTTTCACTGTTGGAAGCTCTTTCAAAGTAAAGTCAAGAAACTGAGCCTGGGTTTGGATAGAATCTCTGAAACAAAAGTAATGGGACATTCAGGAAAGGTAGAGAATGGGGTGAGGTAGCCAAGTAGTCTGAAAGATGTCGCCCATGTCTTGAAGGTTGATGATATTTACCCTGGCACTGATTTCAAAGTGAGACCCATCTCTAACAGATGTCTCCTGCTGGAAGAGACCCTGGAGAGGTAGTGTGCTCTAACAGAAAGTGTTGGGCTTTAGGACCAGGTTTTGTGAACTTCAACAAATTACTTCGGCTCTCCTGGCACCTCAGTTTCCTTACCTGTGAGAAGTAAGGTTAATGGACTGTTGATTAAAGATGGCAGATTGAATGCAAGCATTAACCTCAGTTGCCTTCAGTGAAGGTGTTTTTTTTTTCTAGCATAAATTAATTAAGGACTAAGTGAAAGTGTGGGGTGACATCAGCAACAAAATTTGGATGGAGAAGTGGTAGCCACTTTAAGCAGTCCCCAGAAAGCTGAAACTCGAATTGGCAGTGGGAAAAGCCAAGAAGCAGCCCAGCTTAACCTGTACCCTTGCCCCACTCCAGCCATCCCAAAATTCCTATCAGCTGAAAATGTCAGCAAAACCTGAAATGTCAGATTTTTTCCTCAATCCTGGGTAGTAAAAGGACCACTTAGCCCAAGAACCAAAGCCTTCATCTTGATAGAAATCTGAAGATTTCTCCCCTGGAGAAAATAAAGGGGTATTTAATAAGAAGTAAGCCAGGGTAAGGTCTCTGAGGTAGGAGATCCAACAGAAGAGAAAGGCAGAGTGACCCCAAAGCAACAGGTGCCCAGTCCTCTGTATAGACAAAGCAGATCGGAAGGCACCAGTGAGACTTGAGAGAATAGAATAATTGAATACTGAGTGACAGTCCTCACCACTTATACTTACTGAGTGTTCACTGTATGTCATGTACAATAAAATCCTGTTTCTATCCCTATTGGATAGGCAATCATTATCCCTCTTTTACAAATGAAGGTATTGATATGCTCATTGCTTAATCATTTACCCAGAATGATATAGCTAAGGTAAGTGGCAAAATGGAGATGTAAACGCAGGCAGTCCACAGTTATAACTCCATGACCATGCCCGCCCCTCTACCAATAGGGGAAGCAAAGCAATGACACAGCAAGGCAGTGATTACAGCTGGGGAACAAAGGCCTGCATAGAAAAGGGAAAGCAATTCTATCTGCCATGTGGCTCAGCTGTGAACTCAACACAAAACAATATGAATGGTGATCTGACAAAAGTCCAACACATCTATACTGGGAAGATGGGACAGGTGCTCTGGATGGTAAGTGTCAAAGAGCTGAGTACCTTTCTTCTACAATGCAGAAAAAATATATACCATCGAAAGACACATAATAGCTCAGCCAGTGATGTAAGATGGGGGTCCTATAAGGTTACGCTGCCTAGTGATGTCATAGCTGTCTTGAGTTTTGTAACTTGTTCACACAACAAAATCACTGAATGACATGTTACACAGAAAGCATCCCATTGTTAAGCAAAGCATGACTGTAAATACCTAAAATGAAAAAAACCAAAACAAGAAGGAGCAATAAATGTATCTCCTATAAAGATGTAATACCTACTAAAAGAATCTACTAGAAGGATTACAAACAAGCTGCCTTTGGGGAACTGACCGGCAGGAGAGGGGATGGGCTACTGTCTTTTAGAATAAGTTCTTAGAATTATTTGACCCTTCTAATATGTATAAATACAACTTTGATAAAAAAATGAAAAGTAAATATTAGGAATAAATACCTTGCAGTAATGTTATAAAATAAAATAAATCTGTTTTATATTTCTGGGAACTCAGTGTTAGTTTTCCTCCTTCCTTTTTCTTTCAAGGACAAGTTCATATTCTGCACAGGAATTAAAGACAGGTGAGACTGCATTGACTGACCCTCACTTCTCAAAAAGTCCACTGAAAGAAAAGGAAGAGAAGTGGGGAAATATGTTTGCAAGAACCTTTGAAGAGTGCTCATTAGCATCCATGGGCCTTCATGGGTATCTGATTGAGACATAGCCAGAGGCCAGGTTTAGGGTGTTGCCAGTGTGTTTGGGCACCTCAGCAGTGATGGGAAGGGGCAGTGAAGGTGTCTGGTCACATTCTGAGGATCCAGCATTTGGTGGATCGACAAACTCCCCACATACAGTCCAGTATCTCAAAGGGACCTGTTTAACACCTCAACTACAGCAAGAAGCCAGTACC